AAAAAAAAAAAAAAAAAAGAGTCACCAGAAATAAACTGAATGGGGAAGCTCATTCATTTCCTGGAGGAATTACATCTTGAGCAACAATCAAAGCAGGCCTGGGGTTCACCTGGGTTATGCTTGACTCAAATCAGCATAGCAGAGGTTCACCAAACCTAAGAGAATCACTTAGGGCTGCATACAGAGGATGCCAGCCGAGCTGCAGGCAAGAACCGTTATGGTCCTACAGCTCTGTGACTGGGAGGCCTCCTCAGTCCCCAGTGGGTAGAACCAGCAACAGTCAGAACAGGGAACACATGCCACTGCCACTGAGGTGTCATCAACTGGTGATGCTGGAGGATTTGCTTGTCTAGACCACTGAATAAGATATGATTCTCTCCCCTAGCCATCACCATGATAAACACGCAGGGGAATCTGACTACAAACCTCTCAGTGAATTCAGCAATGTGAAATAGAATAGAAACCTATCCCAATGGGAAATCAGTTTCCAGAGGGATGAGAGGAATGGTAAGGAGAGAACAGAAGTAGGTGAGGTGAAGGAGGTGGGTGGGAAGATGGTCTGGTTTTCCACCTCTGATGACCAAGCTTTGTGAAGGAGTTTAGATGTATAGTGAAGCCCAAAGGTATTAAGATGGTGAGCAGTCACCCCTAGACAAGAATGAGATACAACTGGAGGAGGCTTGGACATTGCCCAGGGTCTGTGAGCCTAGAGACTGAAATGCTGTAGAGGCTCTGGGACATCTCTACAGCAGCTGGATGATTTGGGGGCATCTCCTGTTGAGGTGGTGGTTGTTGTTATGTTATGTGCCATCGAGTCAAGTGCCATCGAGTCGGACCCGACTCATAGCGACCCCTTCTTGGTTTTCTGAGATGGTATCACTGTGGAAGTAGATTTCCCAACCTTCCTTCCAAGGAGTGGCTGGTGGTAGATGTGGGTAATTTATCAGAATTGGTGACCAGATCCCTAGCTAGTTATTAAAGGGCCTACATCTACTTCTTTAGTGATACCTCCTCAGAATTCCAAGGAGTGGTCACTATGAGTTGAATCGACTCAATGGCCGTGCGTTTGGTTTGGTTGGGTTTTTACACTTGTCAGAAATGTCTTTAGGCTTGTTTGTATCTGTAAGGGGCAGGGTTTCAGAAGCTATACACTGGATATTAGGGGCTGAATAATTCTTTGTTGCAGGGGGTATCCTGCGCACTGTAAGACATTTAGCAACATCTCTAGCCTCAACCCACTAAATGCCAGTAGCAGCCCTCCCTTCAGTTGTAACAACCAACAATGTCACCAGAAATCACCACATGTTCATTGGAGGGCAAATTCAACACCCCAGGTTGGGAACCATAATGGCAATGAACCATTAGAACAGGAAAAGAATCAGAAGAGAGGAGTGAGGAGAAGAGTGTTTCAAGGGGAGCGTGTTCAGCAATGTCCAGGGTGGAGAGGGGCTGGATAAGATTTGTCCACTGATCCAGGGGAGAGATGGGGCAGAAGCCAAACTGCAAGGAGCTGAGGAGCGAGTGGAAGTGACGAAGTGGAGTCCGTGCATGGAGGTTCTCCTTCAAGGAAACTTGGCTGTGAAGGGGAGTGAGATGGGAAGCACAGTTGAGAAAGGTTATTTTGAAAATGGGAGAAACAAGAACCATGGGGAAGGACAGCGGAAGAAAGCTCAAAAACACAAACATTTGTCAAAGAAACAGGTAAATCCTACATACTGTATTGGTGACATATCCACTGGATTATTAAATGCAAAAAGTCTTATGATTCCTTTTGTTTTTTGCAAAAGAAATCCCTAGAATTTCTCTAAGTTTGTATATGTATACTATGCATACAGAGTTTGCTTGCCTTAAGGGTTTGTGTTTGAGTATGCATACAAAAAGACCGGACAAAAAACATTTACCAAACAAGATGTTACCAAGGGAGGATCAGGGTCAGGGATGGGAGGCAGGGAGGCTGGAGCAATGGGGAGGGCTTGGGTGAGGAAGGGGTCTGTAGGGTGGAGAACTTTAACTTTTTTATATACTTCTGTGATGTGTAAAGTAAAACAAATGTGTACAAAATTTTTTTAAAAACATAAGTACAAGGAAGTGAATTTACTGGTTTGGGTGGGTTTGGAAAGGCCACCTCTTCCTGTGAGACAGGAAGGGAGAAGGAGAGTAGACACTGATCTGTGACAGGGGTAGGGAACTGTTGCCTGTGTTTCTATGATGTAGACAGACAAGGCACCTGAGAGAGTGACGTGGGAAGTCAGGGTGGGGTGGGGACTACTGGGCAATGACACATTTAGGGATATCTGTGGAAGAGAAGAATGGGAGGTAAGGACCATCACACTGCAGAGAGAACCCAACTGAAAAAAAAAAAAAAAAAAACAAGGATTGGGGGAGGGCACTGGGAGCCTGGGAGGGAATACTGGAAAGGAACGAGGATAGTTCTAGGAAGGGCATCAGACACAGATCTTTCCAGCGTCAGAATTTGTATTCATGACTTTATTGGTTTTTGTTTGTTTCTTTGTTTGTTTAGTAATAGATTCAGTGAGTTTGTTGGATTTGGGTTTCTTTTGGGTTGCCTTTATTGGTTACTGTCAAGTCAATTCCAACTCATGACATCTCCACATATTTGGTAGCATTAAGGAAAGACATTGACATTTTCATGGTTTCACACATTATGCCCATTTTAAAGTTTTTTCTGTGCAAGGACCAAAAAAAAAAAAAAAGATTCAATAAACTAAAAATAATTCCTGTTCTATCACTGAATATCCTCAGTGAACACAAGTGATCTCACTTGTCCTTTGAGCCCTTGAGCTTAGTGAGATGGGTAGCAAAGGAGGAAGACAGCTTTCAAAATTAAAGTTGCTTTGGTGGCATACTGCCTAAGGCATTTGACTGCTAACCTGAAGGCTGGCGGTTCAAACCCACCAGCCACTCCTTAAAAGGAAGACTGGGCAATCTAATTCCATAGTGATAATGGCTCAGAAACCCAAGGAGGGGTTGCTATTAGTTGGATCTGACTCGATGGCAGTGAGGTTTTTTTTTTTTTTTTTGTAAGAAAGATCCATCTCTGGTAGGGAAAGGAAAGGGATGGAAATTCCCTGGGGAGTAATGCCTTGGTCAAAATCAGTGATTTTTACCTCTAAAAAAGATCTAGTGGTCCTCTCTGGGCTTACCATTTGAGAGAACAACAAGCAAAATGGTCAAAGGGAATGATCAGGGA